GTAGGACCTTTACATGTCTGTCGTAGTGACTTTTGGCTTTCTGGCGCTTAAGGTGGATTTTGGTTGTCACACCTTCCGCTACTTTGGGGTACAGAAGGTTAGTTGCTATGGGGACTAGTGTCTTTGTTCTCCTAGACATCAGGCGCTGTACTGGGCTGCTCTGCATTCCTTGAGTGGGGGTATTCCGATAATCTAGCAAGGCTAACCACGGATCTTTACGGTCTTGCATGGCTTTCTTGAGCAGGCTCTTGGCTACTTTCACTGCTGATTCCGCCTTTCCATTTGACTTTGGGTGGTATGGCGATGAGGTGACATGTTTGAACTCCCAGTCTCTTGCGAATTCAGCAAACTCGTTGCTGACGTATTGAGGCACGTTGTCGGATACCAGCACATCGGGTATCCCATGTCGACTGAACTGTTCCTTCAGAAACTTGGTARTGGATGCTGAGGTTGTATCTTTCAGAGGACTTATTTCTATGTAGTCTGAGTAGTAATCTACCAAGACTATATAGTCTCTGTTCTGCAGCGTGAAAAGATCTGTGCCTAGTCTGCTCCGAGGTCTGTCGGGTATTTCGTGCGACTGCATTGGCATGCTGGGGTTACTTGGTTGATATTCTGAGCACACATGACAAGCCTTTACTGCATTTTCGATGTCGTGGTTCATTGCTGGCCAGTAAACGTGATCTCGTGCTTTCCTTGCACACGCCTCGATTCCTTGATGACTTGAGTGTAACCTCGCGATTACTTCAGATCTGAGGGCTCGAGGTATGATGATGCGTTGATTCTTGAATAAGATGCCGTTGTGGAGTGTCAGTTCCTCTCGGAAATGCCAGTAGTCTCTGATAGCTACTGGTACTTTGTCACGTACGTCAGGCCATCCAATTAGTATAGTATTCTTAAGTGACTGCATTGTAGGGTCTTGCTCTGTGGCTTTTTGTAGTTGCGCTAACCTTTCACTTGTGACMTTTACATTGTCGAGGGGGTTGATTCCTTCTAGTTCTAGCGCAAACACTTGGAACTCGTCTCCAGGCTCTCCTTGGTCTGCGAGGAAGGCTCGTGAGAGGTGATCTGCCACGTACATTTGTTGTCCTGGCTTGTAAGTTACGTTCAGGTTGTATCGCTGTAGGCGTAATATCATCCTCTGTAACCTGCTGGGTGCTGCTAACAAGGATTTCTTGAAGATCGCTTGCAAAGGTTTGTGGTCTGATTCAACTGTTATCAGCTCTCTCCGTGTGATGTACTGGCTGAACTTTGCACAAGCGAAGACGATTGCAAGACATTCTTTTTCGATTTGTGAGTAGCGTTGCTCAACTGGTGTGAGAGTTCGGGATGCAAACGCTACTGGTTGGCCGTTTTGAAGCAAGGTTGCTCCGAGGCCTTTCTCACTTGCATCACATTGGATAGTGACTTCTTCGCTCATGTCATAGTACTTGAGTACTGGATGCGCAATCACGAGTTGTTTAACTTCTGAGAAGGCTTTGTCGTGCTGGCGTGACCACACAAATCTTGCATTCTTTGTGGTTAGTTCACGAAGAGGCAGTGCGACTTCTGATAGTCGAGGGAGAAAC